ATTTTTCAGTTTATATAGTGAATGTTTGAGTTTGCAAAAAAAAACAGTGTTTGAAGAAAAGTGAATATTAGACTGTTTAAAAAAAAAAAAAAAATTGTATTCTTCTTTAGAGGAACACAAATTTGATATATTTTTCTTCATGTTTTGATTTGGAATAGAATGTGTAGTGTTCCCAATGCATTTGTGTGTATGGAAATAAAAGCTATTGGAAGGATTTTGAACTTTATTCACTTTTTTTCAACATTGCTATTATTTTGAACACAACTGTACATATTATGGTGTGATCCTTTTTTCAGTGGCTTGGATTTCGGCCTTTTTTAAAGACTAGCTTTTGCTCAAAGCTCTATTAAAGTACAAATTTAAAGCCAGGTTTCTGCTCTTGTGATCTTCTTTCAATGCCCCTTGGCCATGTTTTTCTTTGATTCATACTTTTTCATCCAAGGGGGTTCAACATGTGGCTCCTCCTATGCATTCCCTATTGTCACTGTGGGATTTGAATTTGGTTCTCTTGGTCCTTCAGCAGCCTCCCTTTGAAAATTTTAGAGATATTCCCTTACACTCTCTCAGAAGGCGGCCTTTTTGGTAGCTATCATGCAGAGTGTTTGAGCTGGCTGCTTTGTCCTGTAGGTCTCCTTATTTGGTTGTACACAAGCATAAAGTAGGTCTCTGCTCTTCCTTTCTTCCAAAGGTGGTGTCTGATTTTCATTTGAATGAGGACATTTGTTCTGCCTTCCCTGGGCCTGCCTCTTTCACATCCTAAAGGAAGTTTGCACTAGACACCTTTTTTGGATGTGGTCTGGGTGATTTGTGTATCTGTCTGCTACACATTGCTTTTGGAGATAGGATTCTCTTTGATCCTGGATGGACCAGGAAAGGGCCTGGTGGCTTCCTCTGCCACCATTTATAAGTTAATTAGGCAGATGGTGGTTCAGGCTTATACTGTTTTTAAGGGAATGGTTCCTCCATTACAGGTCATTTTACTAGAGTACTTAGTGCTTTTTGGACTTTTCACCATCAGCTGTTGTGTCAAGTGTTTGTTTTTTGTAAGGTGGCTACTTGTTTGTCTGTCTGTGCGCACATTTTTACTAAGTGGTGTGGGGGTGTTTTTTTTTCTTTTCCTGTTTTTGGTACTGCTTTTGTTACCAAGTCATTTGCCTGAGTGTTTTACACCAGCTAGGACTGCCCTTTTCAGGTGGTGCCAAGCGTATGGGTTTTTCTGCCTAGTGTCCAACTCTAGTGGGTGGTGATATAAACACCTATCTTTGAGAAGTAGACTGGGTCAGAGAGAAGGAATTTATGGTAACAAGAATCCTGATATTCCATCCAATAAATAAAAGGCAAAAACAATCTCTCTCCAACCCTCTTTCCCCCCCCCCCCCCCCCCCCTCCTTTTTTGAGGGTATCCACATGAAATTAGCTAGATACCGTTCTTATACTGAAAGAAATGCAGGCAGTTACTACTAGCTGGTAAAACCCCAGGGATAGCTGACCTAACTATTGAATTTTACTCTTGAACGTGGCTTATTGGCCCCTAAAATAACAGATCTGTTTGAACAGTTTGCCTCTCAGGGTTCCATTGTCTGAGGCTATTGTGCCAGTGTTCAAACTGGGTAAAGGCTTAAACAAATGTGCATAAGCTTGTCCATATTCTTTATTGAATGTAGATGGAAAGGTTTTAGCTAAATTTCTGGTAAAAGAATGTCAACCCAACATTTCATATTCCTACTGTACCATGTACTTGTATGAAAAAGTATCCGTTCTTTTGTGTGCAATACCTGGTGTTTCTTCCAAATGCTCTGCTTTCCTGTTAAAAGCAGGCTACCCACACTAGGCAGGAGAGCACAATGTAGTCCGTGTCCCAAGTGTGCTGAGCACTAATGATCAGCTTAGGCTGACAGCTGAATGCAGAGCTAGTGATCAGGCTTAGCCTGGCATGCCAGAATGCAAAGAAAAACCGTGCATTACCTCAAAAACCTCTTTATTGATAAAAACAATAGGTATTATACTCACAGATGATAATGTCAATGGCAGATCATAAAAACAATACTCTCCAGTCCACACTTGGAGGTCCAGGGTCCCATTTCGGACATCACTAACTGGCTGATGTGTTTCGAGGACTTGCCTCTTCCTCAGAGCCACTGACTTGCCTGGAAGATCAGTGTGCTGCTGTTTTATCCTCCCCTGAGTCCTTTATGCAGCTGAGAACACTTACTGTATTACAAAAGAAAAGTGTGCCTTGTGTTTTCAGAGGCTGGCAGCCTAATGTTTCATGGATAAGGTGTCACTGAGCTCCCCTGTCATTGAAAGGTGGAGAGTGAACAAAATCTCTGCTCTATTTTTGAACTGATTTTCCTGTGATTTTTCTAGTGTGGGTGGTGTGCCATTTTTCTATGTGGGTGGTTGTGGCTGCTGGTATTGGTGTGGGTCCTGCATTGGCATCACCTGCACAGATGTGAATCTAGCCTTACAACTGCATCTATTGATAGTCTCAGATGCATACTTTAGATCCTGAAAGGCTATATGTCAATAGTTTTTAGCCCGGGTGCACAGCATGTGGTGCAGGACACCTCATGTAATTCACAGGAATTGCACTGCATTCCTCTGAATTACATGTAAATGTCAGTATGGTGCAATTTGAGCCATACACTTTGTATAGCTCAAATTGCATCGCATCCTCACAAAAATGGTGCAGGACCCTTCTTTCCCCCCTTCCCCTTTCCTTTCCCCCCCCCCCCCCCCCTTTCCCCTTTCCCCCCCCCCCCCCCCTCTTCCCCTTTCCTTCCCCCCCCCCCCCCTTTCCCCTTTCCTGCACCCTCCCCTCATTGCCCTTTCCTTCCCCCTCCCCCCCCTTTCAATCCTGCACCTGAATTGCATTGCATGGGTGTTTGCATGCAATTGCATTGTGTTTGCAATCTGTTTTGGGGTGTCATTATTTTATTTATTTTTTTAAATGGTTACCTGCACCAGATTGCATGAATGTGATGCAGGAAATGCACAGGATATCTCAGGCTGCATTGGTGGGAACCTGGGCTTAAATGGTACTTTTTTTTTTTTTTAATGTGTACAGATAGAAATGTGGGTAATGATAGCTGCACCATGGCAACAGCTTTTACCCATACACTTTCTCTGTACTCCCAACAAGCTGCTTAGCACTCGCCAACCCAAGAAAAATGAAAGGAAGATGCAATATTGTGACAGAATTTGTCAGAATGGCACAGTATTGTCCAAAATCACAGAAAAATATTCTTAAAGTATATGCACTCACTTTTCAGGGAAAGACTACTTTTTTCTTTGCTTATGTGTTAGCCCAGCCCTACTCTCTCTTTGTAGGTGGCAATCATTTTTCTATATAGAAAGTACAAGAGTGGTGTTCACCAGGTTTCTTTCCGGGTAGGTTTACTTTTATACAAGAAGCTCAAATCTATGAGGGTAGGAAAGCTAAGTACAGATTTTAGAAAATTCATATGTCATCTTTTTCCAGCCCTACATCTTTACCAGTTTTAGGTTGAATACCACTTCAAAGAGCAAACTGCAATACATTACATTTTTTGTTCTGTAGATGTGGTGGCTATATTTATTTTCTTAGGTTTTCTTTCCACTGTATAGTCTGGCCAATACCACACCACTTATATTAGAATTCTCCCATTCTGAATGAAGGAGGGCAGGGGCACTTTTGGATAGCAGTATTGTTAGTTGGGGGTGGGGTGGTGTTAGATGGATTGGTATATTTACTAACAAATTAAAACCAAATTTGAGCTTGTGCTTTATAAGTAGTTATGGTGAACAGTTTTTTTTTGTTCCTTTTTGGGATAAAAGTTTTACAAGAATAAATAAAAAAAACTGATCATTGTAAGCATCCCTCTGTGGTGAGTGGTTTTTCTCACTCCACTTAACTGATGCATTTTCCAGAGTGTTTATTTTTTTCAAAAGAACAGACTTATGGGCTGGCTCACCAAATGAAAATAGAGCAAAGAAAGCCAAAAAAAAGAAAACTGACCACTGGTATACTGGAATATAAAAAAAATAAAGTTTGCATCTAATATGAATATCAAAAGGGGGCTTTAGCCACCCTCCCCCTTTTGTATGCTTTGAGAAAATATTGCTATGCTTTAAAAGTGAGCAGCTACAGGCTAGCAGGTTCCCATTTCTGCAAGGTCTTGCACATGTGCCTCTTTAGGACAGGTCATCATAAATCCTCACTGCCATGACATGAAGCAGGTCCTAGTCAGTAGGCAGCTTGGTCAGATCCTCTGTGCATCCCATGTTTTCACAGGCCTGATACCAAAGTTGAGTTGTTCTGTCTCATCTACTAGAAATACCCTGCACCAGCAGCAGTATACTACCTCCAAGTGGAAGAAAAAAAGTAGAATGCAACACTGTACCCATATGAATTGTTTAGCATTTTTTTGAGGCAGATGAAACTTTATTTTGGTGGTATTTATTCACCACTGGGATTTTTTTTTTTTTTTTTTTTGCTATATAAATGAAAGTCCAAAAATTTTGAAAAAAAGTGTTTCTTATAAAAATTTGCAAATAAATAATCTTTCTTCATAAATCTTGGCCAAAATGCATTCAGTTATCTTTTTAGTAAAAAAAAAAAACAAATTAGTTTATAACCAAAAATTTCTAATTTTTCTAAATTTTTTTTTAAATTTTTATTTTTTTATATATTTAATGATTTTACTGTCACCCTTGCAGTACAGTGTCATTGTAGTGGGGGTTATGAAGATATCTATATCTATATATTATGATTATATTTTTTTTTACACTGATTGCTTTTACACCCATAAAGACTGTAAAAGCAATCATTTCTCCTCTCTGGCTTCATTCTTGAAGCCATTGAGAAATACTGTGTGAGCTGTGATTGGTCACAGCTTGTCACATGGTACAAGGCTGTTGTGAATAGCCTTGTAGTACCATGTGACCTCTGTGATTATTCATAGATTTCACACGTAGTAAACAATGATGTCAGAAGTAACATCTTGCTTATTACTCTTCATGTGATCACTGGCCAATCAGTGATCACATGATCAGGACCTCATACAGAGGTCCTGTACAACGATCAGTGTTTTACTGTGGCCGGAGGACACAGCAGACACCAGATCGAGGTGCTGCGAGCTCCCAGGGAGTCTGCACAAGCAGGGGGGGGAGGCCATTTATAAACTGCCACCTGCCCCTGCACTGCTCCCATATGGCTGTTTTATATACATGGGCAAGACAGGAAGTGGTTAAGAGTGAGCCAAGTCCCTTTTAGCAGTAGTAGTTACAGGGCTGAGCACCTCAGGTACAAGCCAGCTATGACAGACTGTGCCAGCCCAAAGGTAACATAGCTAAGCAAAGTCCTTTTGCAGTAACAACCCTTGGATAAGCTCTTCAGAATACGAACCAGTGTTCCTTCTTTATAAAACCCACACTGACTATCAAACCCCAGGCGCGGCACCAAACACACAGCATCCCCAAGTTCCTCACTGTCAGTACTCACAAGGCCCAAGGACAGAATGGTTGCCTCCTTACAATCTTCCAAGCGCAACCCTCCAGTGATACCAGACAGACAGACAACTCCTCTTGGTCAACTTCCTGCAAAGCCAGTCACAGTCTCTAACTTCAGGCTCTCAGGTTGCCACCCCATCCCTTTAAAACCGACACATATTAATTATACAGGTTCTGAGGTTATTTTCATGCACATTGGGTGAGTTTAATTACCGCATTAATCAGACACATGCTTGTGTAAATAATGTGTTTGGTTTTAAAGGGATGAGGTGGCAACCCTAGGTTGACCCACCTGAGCCCACATGGTAACAAGTGCCAGGTGAGGCAGCCTGCCTCCAGCATGGCTGGTGTAGTCTACTCCTGGGAAAGACACTGAACCCGTGTGCTCTTGGACTAATAAATACCACTCCCAACATGCAATGGGACTGCCTTCCTCTGCAATTGGCCAGGGCTGTATCCATATTCATGCTGTTCATTTGCCTTGATCAGGGGTGTCAAACTGGTGGCCCTCAAGCTGTTGCGAAACTACAAGTCCCGTCATGTCTCTACCTTTGGGAGTCATGCTTGTAACTGTTAATCTTGCAATGCCTCATGGGAACTGTAGTTTGGCAACAGCTGTAGGGCCACCAGTTTGACACCTGTGGTAGACCCTATCCATGTTCTGGAAGGCTCTCATAGCTTCCTGAAGACAGGCAGAACTCAGACAGCTCCAACAGCACCAGAGCAGCATGAGCAGACCTAACTAATAAATCACATCGCTCTATTACGCAGAATAAATAAATATATAACCTCCTCCACTTCAAACCCCTCAAAAAGTCATACTTTCTCCCTAGAAAGTGCAATAATCATATATTATAACCTTTTTGTGATACAATAATAATACAATTAAACCATAAAGTGTCATAAATAATCACCAAAAACATCCCCAAAAAATTGTCCAAAAAGAAAAAAAAGAAGAAAAAATCCAACAAAAAGTCCCAGATTTCCAAACTTTATCATCCAATAGGAAGGATTGAATCCTATTCCATCCTGTAATAACCTCAAAGAAATAAAAATAGATACTCGAGTGCATTACCCTTATATAAGAGAATAATCACTCCATGCAAAAACACAACCTATACAAATGTGCAAAAACTTTTTAGGTTGAATTAATAATTATATATAGTGCACATATAGACTACAAATTAAACTGTGAGCACTCCGTGAACACTGCAACACTGTGCAACCACCAACACCAATAGTATTACATACTATTACCTCTGTATATATATAATCAGCTCATCCGCATTAAATCAGAGATCTTCCATTTCCTCTTCAAAGATATTTTCCAAGGCCCTCAAAAGACAAGAAGGGTCTCAAGACTCATATTCAAAGTATAGGGAAATTTTAATAGCCACTTACATTTAAAATTCCAAATTTCCAGCTCCAAACATGGCTCCTATGCAAGTTCTAACAAACAAATGCAGCAAGCCATGTGTGAACAACCAACAAAATGGCCACGGCGACACCCCCGGTCCGCGCACGTGCGTCCCGACGCCACCCCCCCCCCAACGCGCCTCGTCACTTCCGGACCTCCCCGCGGCAACCCCCCCGGTCCGCGCTCGTCCCTTCCAAATTTCCACCTCGGCTCCTATGCAAGTTCTAACAAACAAATGGCCGCCATGTGTGAACACCCAAAATGGCCGCGGCGACACCCCCGTCCGCGCACGTGCGTCCCGACGCCACCCCCCCCCCAACGCGCCTCGTCACTTCCGGACCTCGTCTTCAGACAAAATGGCCGCGGCGACACCCCCGGTCCGCGCAGTGCGTCCCGAGGCGCGTTGGACCTCGTCTTCAGGAGGTCCGGTGGAGGCGTCGTCGGGACGCACGTGCGCGGACCAGGGGTGTCGCCGCGGCCATTTTGTTGGTTGTTAGGCTGGTTCACTCCAGATGCAATCCAGTGCATTTTTATTCTGCATCACAAATGCATTGACAACATTTAACATGGATTCCAATGGCCCTAGTTCACACCTGTGCGGTCAACAAAAGAAGAACATTTTTGAATTTTTCTGTATGGAACGCATCTGGAATATGGCAAAATGCATCACTATCCTCAATTGAGATGAAGAAAAAAAAAGAAGGGGAAAAACGCATGTAGAAATGCACATTGAAAGCGGAAATTGTGATGTGAAGCAGCCCTAAGAGGTTCTGCATGGAGCATAACCGTCATATGTTATAAGAAAATATGACTTCCTAGAGTAAATAAGTATGTTTCCCAAAACCTTGCTTTTTTTTTTTTTTTCATAAACACACACAATGATCATTTGCATTAAAGTGATCTTTTAACGTGTCTAAAAAAACAAAACAAAAACATAAAATACTTTAGGTCCTCTTTAAGAGGTGATAAAGTGATCTGTTGCATTTCCACAGAGCCTGCTTACCCCTGTGCAGTATTTGATTTACCTTGGACAGTTCCTTAAAATAATAAAGGTTGACATGTTTGCTTCTAATTAAATTCTAATACAATTGTGCAAATTAGTTGCTTTTGTTTTCCCCGTGCTACCCTGTCAAAAGACTCCTGCAACATTATACATTGCTAGGATTGTAATTTTGTAATTACACATCTGTGTATATTTCCAATCTAGAATGAACTGTGCAGAAACAAAGCGCTGCTTAGCTTAATTAGTGATATTAAGAAGCCGTTCCCATTCGTTATCTACGGTACTGATGTCTGCTGCTCCACTAGGCTGCCATCCCTTGGCTCCCAGTGAACCAGTGCAGGGATAGGCTTCAACCTCAGGCTGCTCGCAGCCCCCTTGACATGTAAAGACCATCAGAACAATCACATTAGGGCCAGCCTATAGGAAAGGCTTTTACTTGACCAATCCAAGCCTGCTTAAAGCTAACCAATTACAGCCTGGTTTACATCTAACCTCCTAAACTGTCTTCTAGGGGGATTTAAATGTGGTACCTTAGTGTGATTCCTACTACAGCAAGCAAATCAACACACTTTGAGCAAGCATTTCATCTCTAGAAGGACCAACAAGCAACATTCATCATTTATTCAGTGCATCTGACACATTTCATATTTCTGTATAAATAATGCACACTGATTTTACAGCAGACAGCAAGAGCATCTGTATGCAATATCTGGATTTATTTATCACCGTGATCTGAATTGCTCAGTCCAGATAGTTATGCATCGCAGGGTTAAAGCGTCTCCTAGTGATTTCCCAAATGGAGCATGCAGATCTATTGGAGAGACAGAGGCATTGCCTGGTTTGAAAAGAAGTGGCTCCTGATCCTGCAGCCGTGCCAGCAATAGATGCAAGGTAAGGGAATAAATGGCGTAGAAAAGCAGAGCTCCCATGGCAGTGCTGTTAGAATTCGACCTGCATGATCACTACACTGCTTGTGCCTGAAGCTGTCATCCTTTGTTGGAGGCAGCACTCCACTGCCAGGGGGCATGGTGGTCACCCACACCGCCTCTTGTCTGCCAGCTGCAATCACACGCTGATAAATATGCCTCTTATTTTTTATTAAGTTTCCCATTTACACAACTGCTGCACTTGATTGTTTCCTGATGATCATGTCTATGTACTGTTCCTGCTATTACTGAGCTTTAACCGCTTCGGATTCGATGGCCACAGGCTGGTTTTGCTGTTCACTGCTCTTTTCTGGAAACCATCTCATATACTGGTAACCTGCATATATATTGCTTTTTTTTTTTTTTTTTTTCTCCCGTCAATTCTAAGTGCTGAGACAGATTGGATGTGCACTTTAAGCGCCTATATATCTATTGATCCAGAAATGTATTAAATGGTAATATGGAGGGGGATTTCATGCGAATCCAGTAATGACAATTGGCTCCTGCCCTTTAATCAATAGTTGGACTGGTTGGGATAAAATCACACAGGTTCCTGATGTAATAAGCTGCTAAGCTTAGGACAATATTGACGGCTCAATACATCTTACGGCAGTTATTAATATCATACAAATGTGTTCCAGTTTTTATCCCTGGTTCTCTTATGTAAAGCTTTATACACAACAGTAGCTATGTGTTTTAATTGCTCCCTACCTGTTCCCGCTCTGAATTTGTTGCTTGACACATGTTAATGCCCCTTATTTATCAAGTTGCCTGAAACATTTGGCATTGCCCCTGGCAACAATTGGTTAGTATAGACAGTTCTTATTTTAGACAGCATTAATATGTCATTATAAAACAGCAAGCTCGTAATAGCTTCCATTTTTTTAAATTCAAAACACATAGAGATGTCACATTTTGTGATGCGAAATTACCATTCTATGGGAAGCTTGTGAACTCTTAAGATTACAAGCCATTATAACAGGAGTGGTCACATTGGATAATATATTTTATCAAGTTTTATGATATCCTTTTAATTTTGCATATGACCTAATAATTTTTAATAAAACTGTTTGAATACTTGCATATTTTACATTACATATGTTACAAATGTGTCTCATTTCATTGCCGTATGCCCAGAATATATACTCCCAAAATAAGTGTTGGTGTTGCCCATGACAAACTGGATTCTTCCCTTAATTTTGCAACTTGCATTAAAAGGGATGACTGCTAGAAAGTAACTAGATGCCAGTTGCTCACACATTGTCCTTCCCTCCAGTTTCTTTTAAACGTGATATCTAAATATTTGAGATGTAACATTTTATTCAT